TTGCCAGAAACTCCAGAAAAGCAATTCTGGAACTTTCATTCTGTTCAGAAACTCTTTTCCTCTTTTTCAGACATGGAGAACTGTGCACGTTGTCCAGAGAATCAATTTCCAAATGAAGCTCATGATGAATGCATTCCAAAATCAATGAATTTCCTCTCCTTTGAAGAACCACTAGGCATTACTCTGGTTTCTCTGGCTCTTCTTTTTTCCCTGCTTACAGCTTTGGTGTTTACAATCTTCATTAAGCGACAGGACACTCCTATTGTCAAAGCCAACAATCGTAATGTCACTTACCTTCTACTTGTCTCTCTATTTCTCTGTTTCCTCTGCTCACTTCTGTTCATTGGACAGCCCAATAAGGCCACCTGTCTACTCCGACAAACAACATTTGGCACCATCTTCTCTATTGCAATCTCTTCTATATTGGCCAAAACCATCACAGTTGTTGTAGCATTCCTAGCATCAAAGCCAGGAAGCCTATTCCACAAATGGGTGGGGCAAAAGTTGGCCTATTCTATTATCTGGTTCTGCTCCTTCATTCAACTAGGTATTTGTATTGTTTGGCTGAGTACTTCTCCTCCATTTCCAGATTTGGACATGGTGACACTCCATGGAGAAATCATAGTTGAATGTCATGAAGGCTCCATCGCCATGTTTTACTGTGTCTTAATCTATATGGGCTTCTTGGCTCTTCTCAGTTTCATTGTGGCCTTCCTAGCCAGGAAGTTGCCAGACAGTTTCAATGAAGCCAAGTTCATTACTTTCAGCATGTTGGTGTTCTGCAGTGTTTGGCTGACCTTTGTCCCCACCTACCTGAGCACCAAGGGGAAATACATGGTGGCTGTGGAGATCTTCTCTATCTTGTCTTCCAGTGCTGGTTTACTGGGATGCATCTTCATCCCTAAATTCTATATAATTATATTTAGGCCTGAGCTCAACACTAGAGAGCATTTAGTACATAAGAAATAGAAAAAGAACCAATTTTGAACAAGCAAATTGTTATGAGATCTTATTATCTATCTAATAGTTAACTGGATCTATACATACGGCCATCTTCATAAACATGAATAAAAAAAAGTAATCTGATGTGCAAACATTTCAAACACTTATGAGGTACATTTATTTCCAAATCCGTTAGTACATATAAAACTAATCTATTAGGAAATAAATTATGTAAACAGATAATAAAGTTAAAAGAGACATTGCTGCATTTGTCCTTTACATTAGAATTTCTCAGAGCCTGCTGTGTCTTTTCTGGAAGGGGATATTTATTTTGCTGGAAGATATTTCCCTTATGATTTAATTAATTTGTTCCATGTTAGTTTTCAATGTTTTATAAACCAATTTATTGTGGGAGGGAAAGAACTATGTCTATATCAAGATGAGCATTAGTTGTATTGACTCAATGGCAGTGGAGATGGTTTCTACACCAGCAGTTCACATCTTAGCATTGCTTGTCAGGGTACACTTCAGGACTTCTCCACCTAAGAGTTCAAAGCATGTTCTATACAAGTTGATAAAATAGACACCACTTCAATGGGGAGACAAGGTGGTCTTCTGTGCAGACAGTCAGATTCCTGCCCTTTGAACCTTCCCAATTGGAGCACCCTTTTGCGAAGTGGATCCAGGGAGGGATCAATCTCAAGATTCACTGAACATTTGTTTCATGATTTTATTAACTTGTCAATATATAAAATACAAGTGGAAATGAAAATAATTGGAAAAGGGGGGAAGGAAAGGAGGAGAAAGAAAGAAATTCTGACTCTTTTTAGTGCAGTAGAATGAAATTTTACAGCATCAACATTTCAATTTTACATACTTAATATCAACTAGTCATTTCTATAACAACAATTTTATCTACTTAGCCAAAGTGAACAGTTCATTTTTTTCCATCTCAGGCACAAAAATCCAGAAACTAGCCATCTCTGCCAGTTCCATCAATTTTTCCATCTATCCATCTATTGTGGGAATTCCATTTTTGTGCATAAAGCATTCTTCAGCATTTCTTTTTTTTTCAACTTCTTTGCCCTTTAAGCCTAAAAGAAAAGCCTCTGGTTTAGTTTTTACATTCTTTTTGCAAATATTCTGTATTAAAATATGACTCTTCCCCAATATTTCTTTGCTGTCATGGTTTTGATGGATGCCTTAATTAAATCATGAGCCTCAAGCCAAGCTTCAAAAGAAAGCTAGTTATTTATTAGGAGCAATATGTCAACACATAGCAAGTGAAGCCAGCTCTGACCCTACATAATTTATGGCCCAAGTATGACCCTGTTTCCCCCTTCCCCCAAGGAGTGTCATAAATCACATACTTCAATAGAGCACTTTTGTGGGCTGTAGAGATCACGACCCTCTGCCTATTGCAGGTAACCTGGGAGACAGCCTTAAGAAAAATATATGTGGAATGTGCTTCTGGTTGTGGCTGCTGTGCTGCTCCATCAGTTCCCCCCACCTTTCTTGCTTATGGCAACTCGAGAGCAGGCCAGGGATGCTTTGAGAGTTGACATTTGCTTTATTACAAGTCCAGCAAAGATGACTAAAAGTTCTTTCCTCGCATTTACATTTCCAACACACTCTACATTTGAAATAGTTTTGCACATCTTTGACAGTTTATTGGGTGTTAAATACAACAGTCCATTATTTTATTTAAAAAAATTCTTGTGTTAAAATTCACTGTAAGTTTTAAAACTTCTGTCCACAGATTTTCCTATTGTTCAAGCATTGTATTATACCCAGAATTCTTTGTCCCTTGAATCATGCAATGCTGCACACATTCATTCTCCAAAATCAATTTCACTTACAACTTATAAACTTTGGCTATAACATGTTCATCAATATTACAGAATACTATTCAAATATATTATTTTACAAATACAAACCCATAATTTTTTTAAAAATCTAGGTTAAACCTTTTTTCTCAAAAAAAAAGTCTTCCTGCAGTGACACCCAAAGAGGTAGCTTCAAAAGAAGCTGACTAGCCCGACTAGGTGGCTCAATGGCTAAGACACTGAGCTTTTTGATCAGAAAGGTCGGCAGTTCGGCAGTTCGAATCCCTAGTACAGGTCTCCTGCATGAGCTGGGGATTGGACTAGATGACTTCCAATTTCCCTTCCAACTCTGTTACTGTTACTGAGCCTTGTTCCAAACCCTTTGGATGGCATGCTTTCAGGGGTGGGTTCATGACAGTTCTAATCTCTTCTATAGAAAAGGTTCCACAAATCTACAGTGCTGTTTAAAGCTGGTTCCAGCTCCCTCCCCCCTCCCGTCCGCACATCATCAAGATGAAGAGCGAGAGGAGGAATTCTGGGAGTTGAAGTCCACAAGTCTTAAAGCTGTCAAGTTTGAAGACCCTTGTACCCCTAACCCTTTAGAAAAGAAAAAACC